AGATGCTGTTGGATTGCATCAATTACAACAGCAGTTAGCAATATGAAAGTTGTTTGTAAGCACGTAATTGGTCTGTAGTTGTCTGGCGCTGCCCCTTTTTATGGATCTTTCATATCAGCTTGGTTTTGCCAGGTGTTAGCCACTATTCAATTTCTCCTCTTTGCAGTATGTTGTTAAACTTTTTGGGAACAGGTGCAAAAAAAGTCAGGATATTTCAATCCAAATTTGTGCCATTCATTTCACCTAGTGCTGACCAATTCTTGATCTTCCTTGCCTTTTTCTTCACCTTTCTGCTCTTATTAGGAGTACTTTCATTTCAGCTTTTTTATTCTTATCCACCTCCTTAATCACATTTGTTCTTGTTATATTTTGGGGAGTTTATCCCATATCGTCTCCCAAAATTGTGCTGTATCTTCCTTTTCAGATGCTGAGTGATTCACTGCAGGCTCTCTATTGATGGTGTCAAAGCAAGAATATACAGTATTTGCAGTGTCCACATGACAGATGGATTGATAGAAATGTTTCTGATTAGATAGAAATTGGAGATTTTCTCTATAATTTACAATTCCAGCTTTGTATCTTCCAATTTTCTTGGTTATAAATGTTGTTTGCTACTTTATTATTTCCAGTGTTTTGATTTTTCTTTTTCCAAGTGGTGTTTCTTGATTAGGTTCTTTTTGGTCTTCTTGTTTTTCAATTAGTTTTCTTTCATTTGTTCTAACTTATACTTGCATCTAATCTCAGCTAGCCAATTTTATTTTTCTACCTGATATTCCATTATTATTACTATTATTATGGTTTGTCGCACAGTCAGTGAGATGTTCAGACTGACTTTGGCATTTTTGTCTACCTATTGAGTCCTTACCAAGGACCTGGGATAGGCAGATCTGGATTTTGGGATGGTGTTACAGATATCGTTACAGGAGGGAAGCTATTGCCAGCATAGCCGCCTTTTGCAATTGACTGATGGCGAATTTGTCAATGTTCAAGTGATGCTCCAGTTGTTTTGGGATTGCACCCCAGGCACATATTACTATTGGTACTACCTTTGCTTGCTTTTGCCATAATCGTTCTATTTTTATTTGTATTTTGTTATCTTCTCCAGTTCTTTCGCTTCTATTCTGCTGTCTCCAGGCACTGCCAATTCTTACCAACAATTGTTAAGTCTGGGATGTTATGTGGCAGGTTCCTGCCTGTTTGAATTCTAAAGTCCCAGAGCAATTTAACTTCTTCATTTTCTATGACTTTCTCTATATTCTGATCCTACCAGTTCTTGTTTGCGGGCAAATGATATTTCTTGCAGATTTTCCAATGCACCATTGTTGCTACTTTGTCATGCCGCTGATTGTAGTCAGCTTGGGCAATCATCTTGCAGCAGCTTACCAGGTGGTCCACTGTTTTTTCAGCTTCTTTGCATAGGCAGCACTTACTGTCTGTTCTCAATTCTGGCTTTGTATGCCTTTGTCCTTAAGGCTTGGTCTTGTGCAGCCAGAATTAGTCCCTTGGTCTCTTTCTTCAACTTTCCTGCTCTTAGCCATTGCCAAGTCTTGTTATTGTCTGCTTTCCCAGCTATTTTTTTTAATGTAGTGGCCATGTACTGCTTTGTCTTTTCATGACACCATTCTGTTCTTCATTTGGCCTTTCTTGTAGACCAGCTTGGTCTCTCCAGTAGTCAGTAAACCTTCCTGATATACTAACTTCAGTGCATCTTCATCATTATCCTTCAGATATTCTTCCAAAACCCCTTTTTCTTCTTCAACTATCTGATGTACTTGCAACATTCCACATCCACCTATTTGCCTTGGTATTTAGAGTCTGTCAAAGTCACTGCATGGATGAAGGGCATGATTCATTGTCATTATTTTTCTGGTCTTCCTATCCATTGCTTTTTAGTTCTGCTTGAGGCCAGTCCACTATTCTAGCTGTGTAACTAATGACTGGAATTGCCTGGGTGTTGATTGCCTTGATTGTATTTCCTCCATTAAGTTTGGACTTTAAGATTTTCTTCACTCTCTTGATATATTCACCTCTAATCTTTTTCTTAACTTCAGCATGCTTGATGTTGTCAACTTGAAGGATACTCAAGTATTTGTAGTAATCATCCTCATCCATACTCTTATGTTATTTTCATGGGCCTTCTTGATTCCATTTTTCACTATTTTTCCTTGTTAAATAGTGAGTGTGGCACATTTGTCCAACATCTTGGCTATATATACGGACAGTGTTAAGCACCGATTCTATTTCAGATGGTGTTTTTCCATACAGCTTCAGATTGTCCATGTAAAGAATGTGGGATAGTTTGGCAGATGTTTTTGAGGTTTGATAGCCATGCCCTGAGTTATTCAGTAATGTTGATAGAGGAAACAGTACAATAACAAATAGTAGTGGTGATAATGAATCTCCTTGAAATATTCCTCTCTTGATATTAACTTCTCCCAATCTCTCACCATTGAACCTGCAACTGTGCCTTCCATTGTGCCATTAATCTTTGCACAAAGTTTCTGATGTTTTTACTGACTCCTGTTATTTCTAGGAACTTGATTATCCAGTTATGTGGCAGAAAATTGAATGCCTTTTTATAGCCAATCCATGCTACATTTAGGTTGGTCTTCTCTTGCAGTTTTCCAAAATCATTTTGTCAATTAGAAGTTGATATTTTGTTCCTTTGCTCTTGGGGCAGTTTCCTTTCTGCTCATGTGGAAAGAGATCGTTTTCAACTAGATGCTGTTGGACTGCAATTGCTAACACCAGTTAGCAGTTTGAAAGTTGTTGGTAAGCAAGTAATTGGCCTATAGTTGCCTGTTGTTGCCCCTTTTGCTGGATCTTTCATTATGAGGTAGGTTTTGCCAAATGTTGGCCACTCTTCAATTTCACCTCCTTGTAGTATGTTGTTAAACTGCTTGCAACGAGTGGATATAGACCAGTTAGATGTTTCAACCAAAAACTATGCAGTTCATATTCACCTAGTGCTGATCAATTCTTTTATCTTCCTTGCTATTTTCTCTACCACTTCTGCTGTTTTTACTAGTCCTTTCATTGCAACTTCTTTTTTTAATTCTTATCCATCTCTTTTAACCAAGCTGCATCCTTGTTGTATTTCTTTAGGTTATCCCATATCTGCACCCAGAACTGTATCGTTTCTTCCTTGACAGATACTGATTGATTCACTGCAGTGTCTCCATTGATGGATTGGTAGAAATGTTTCTGATTGGATTGATATTGGAGGTTCTGCCTATAATTTGCAATTCAAGCTCCGTATCTTCTGTTCTATCTGATTACTACTACTACTACTACTATTACTGTTATTGTCAGTTTTAGTAATACTCAAACATTCTAGCTTGATTACTTAAAGCATTTAAAAAAACATGGTTTCCCAATCTTGAAATTGCTGGTGCCACCTTGGTCCATCAGTTTGAGAATCCTTGAATTAAAATATGTCTCTGTCCATTGAAGTATTTCATTTGGCTGTGTGCTATTATTCTTTTTTAATGCCTATGAAGAATTCTATTTTAATGCATATTTGCATTCTTCATTTCAAAGTTCTCTTTTTAGTATAAATATATACAAAATAGTAAACATGCTTTGATTTAAGGTCAGAGGAAAATGGCCACTGAAATATGTCATTGGAGCAATCTCAGCTGGATATATTGTGTTGGAATAAAATACAAAATATTTCAGATATTCCAATCATAGAAGATAATGGAATTAAGAATAAGGTTTTTGCTTCATTTGTTTCACTCCTGAGCTACAAATTAAATGGACAGATAATCTATGTTTCTACTTCCTGCCAACTAGCTGGCAGTAAAATGTTAATGACTATTTTTTAAAAAAAAATTAAAAAGAGAGCTATCTTAGTCAGTTTTGAATTTGGGTGGCAGGTTGCATTCAACATGGATTGCTATCCCCTTTTACATACATATATACATCAAGTTCACAGACAACTTTAGCCTCCCCCCCCAAAAAAAATCCAGCCTCTGTGAGTGTGTTTTACAACTTAAAAAACAGCTGAAACTTTATTGTTGCTTCACGAATAAAGAAACATTGCAGTACAGCTTTTTAAAGAAAGAGAAAATCATTATTGCGTCAGGCTATAAATCCTAGAAAAACTTCCATTTAAGTGCATTCTAAAGCTCAATATCAAAAAGATGCAAAATGTGCAAATAAATACCACAGTCTAGCAAATGAACTCCAACCATAATTTATTTGTTTAATAAATTTATATGCTTTTCAACTTCCAGCAATTCAGTTTTGATTTCCTCCGAGCAAAGCAGTAATTTTGCCAGACATGGTTGAGATCAGTTGTCTACATATTTAATCTCTTTCTCTGCAAAAGAATAAGCAGAACAGTCTATAATAACTTTTGAATTCTGAGTAATATGCTTAGTATCTTACTGTGCCCCAACATTCCAACCTCCCTATTAAATCATTCCATCAAAATACAACCCAGTAGCAGCCCAATATGATCATAACCTGCCCTTAGGTTAGAAATTTTTTTTAAAAAACCAGTCCATTGCTGTTTACATACTAAGCTACAAATACATTATGTGGTTTAGCATAATCTGTGAATCAAACCATGTTAAATATGGGACAAAATCTATCTGGGTCTCTGCTGTATGAGTCTTTCTAAATCAGACTCGAAATTACTTTAATAAAATCAAACCCTCATAGGTTGAGACCACTCATAAACAAAGGGGTTTAGTTTAGAGAAACTTTTGGGGGTTCTGCTCAATTTCCTTCTCATATATTTTTATTAATTTTACTTTTCATTAACTGCCTAATATCAAATAACATCAACACCAAATAGCTGCCTGTCATATAGGATGTTTTATTGTTTATATATCTATATGATCTAAATTCAGATGCTGTAAAAAAAAAATCTAGAGTTCTGCAGTTTCTTAACTTCCTCTTATTATTCTTTCAATGATCTTCCCAAACCCAACTCTACCCAAGAATTATTTGCTGTCTCTCTTACTCTCTATAAAACATTTTGTTTCTGTAAGGTGAAGAAATGATGCCCTTTGCCAATGAAACAACCCATCTGGAAGATTCACTAGGTCAATTCTCTCAGAGTGAAATTCTCACCACACAGGTATGAGATTATATGTTTTCAAACATAAATGTGATGACCTAATTTATGTGAATAGCAACATAAGATTAGATAGATGCTACTGAGCTTGCAATGAATTTGAGTTATTTGAGGAAGATTAGCTAACATGATGAAAGGATTGAAAATTTATTTGGGTGATAATACAAAGGGCTGGATATGTTTAGTCTGTTAAAAAGTTGATAAAAAGGGTGCATAACTGATATTCAGATATGGGGAAGATACAGAAAAAAAGATGCTTTCACTTCTGGTTCAGCTATTTTTTTTCCTTAACAATTCTTATTCTGATCTTTTTTTAAACATTCTTATTTATTCTTGTTAGTGATTTTGATAAAAATGTCCTGTTCTCACAATTAAATTAGAAGTAAGTGAGGGGAGTGATATCATCTCACCAGAGGTCTGTAGAAATCTCGTTGCCTTGGGAAGTTGTTTCACTCCTATTCCATCTATATTTTAAGACATATCTTGCATTGTTATTTCCTTTGCTGCTGTAAAGTGAATTTAAGACCCATTGAGGGAAATCATTTGTGGCAAGCACTGATTGTTCCCGTTTTCTCATCAGGTAACTAGTGATGTTCAGCCACTGACACAGCTTCATAGCAGTGGAGCAGTATTTCATCTCTTTATACTAATTTCCTCATTCCCTGTTAATGCCAGTGAGAGCTAGGAGTCAAGCCCAAAATGTGAATGAATTTTAAAATTTAGTAGAAAGATTGTGACTTAATTCAAATTATTCCTGTTACAGAGGAGCCCATCATTTTCCCCAGTCATAATTAAAGTGCTTAAATCACCTATGATAAGAGGCTCCATTATCTCCCATCATTCCTCTTCTATCAGTCACAGTTATACCCAACACTGGCCATAGAAAATCATGTTGCAGCTTGAATTTTGGAGTGACAAGGGGCTTACTACACAGTTTAGTCTTTAGCAGAAGGAAGAAATAAAATGCTAGTAAAATATTATTTTTCATTGTCATCTTTAATATTTCTCTTAATGCTAAATAACAGATGAAATACAGGTAGTCCTCGACTTACAAATGAGCCTGTCCATTCCATTCGTATCTCGAGGATTCATAGGAGTGAATCTCGTACCTTGAACGTAATCACTCCCTGCTTTCGCCCACACATTCGTTAATTGAACGTGCGGTTCATTAAGTGCACATGAGATATCTCAGGTGGGCAAGACGATGGGGGGCCTAGTGATGGAACAAGCCCCCAAGGCCTCCCCGACCCACTAAGATACCTCATGCTTCTCCCTCCCTGCCACGCTGGACTCACTTACTTTGCAAATATCTGCCTCCTCTCTGCCGCTGTTTCTTTGAGGAAGAGGAGAGTCCATGGAAGCTCCTGGGTGCCATAATATTGCGCATGTTCAGGCACCCATTCTCTTTTGCAGATGAAGTTTCCAGTCTCCATCAGGTCTCCATCCAGGTGAAAAGTGTTTGAGCACCAATTGGATGCTTGGAAGGGAGTGAATCACTCTATTTCCAAGTGCCCCATAGGTGCTCAAACACTTTTTGTCCGGATGGAGACTGGGAGCTTTGTCTCCATGCAAATGTGGTGCTTGAAAACGGAGCGATTCGCTTCCTTCCAAGCTTCCCATAGGTGCTCAAACACTTTGCAATTCACTCCGTTTGCAAGCATCCCATTTGCAAATCTGTTTCCAAGTGCCCCATTTGCACGCAGATAAAGCTTCCAGTCTCCATCAGGTTTCCATCAGGGTGAAAAATGTTTGAGCACCTATGGGACATTTGGAAGAGAGTGAATCACTCCATTTCCAAGTGCCCCATAGGTGCTCAAACACTTTTCACCCGGATGGAGACTGGGAGTTTTGTCTGTGTTCAAATGGGACACTTGGAAACGGAGCAATTCACTCCCTTCCAAGCTTCCCATAGGCGCTCAAACATTTTGCAATTCACTCCGTTTGCAAGCATCCCATTTGCACGCAGACGAAGCTCCCAGTCTGTTGTGATTCTTTGCCAGCCAGTGAATCTGGCAGCTGAGTCTGAGGAATCAGATGAGGAGGAGGGGCCTGGAGTGACATTAGAGTCAGAGGAAGGCTCTGAGGAGCTCCAAGACTTACAGTCGGACGAGGAGCCTGGCCCCTTTACTCACACTCAGGCTGAGACACAGCTGTGCTGGGTGCCTGAGTTGGACAGTGATGAAGAACAGTTGGGACAAATTCAGGATACACAAAAGTGCAGGCAAGGGAAGCAAGTAGGACAGAGGAATGCAATGGGGCAGCTCCAAAGGCAAAGGAGAAAGCATTAGGAAGCCACACCTTGGCTGAATTATAAAAGGGAAGGTGTGGGAGGTGCGGGTTGCCGAAGGCAACTGTTCGTGTTGAGGATCGAGTTTCTGTAGACTGTGTTTGTTTGCCTTGGACATTGACTCAGGTCTGTGAGAATAAAAGGGATTGGTTTTTTCTTGTGGTTCCTGCCTGTTTCTTGGAAGAGGTATTTCTCCTTGTGAGCATAACAAGAACTCACATAGGCTGGGACAGAACAGTTTGCCTTCGGCCTTCTACCCCCTATTACCATGGAGCAGTTACAGGTGGAGAATGCCCAGCTCTCCCAGCAGCTGGCTTTGCTGGCAGCTCAAGTTGCTTAGCTTCAAGCCTCCGCTCCTGCTGCTCCACAACCCCGAAGGAAGTGTCCAGTTGCAGTGCCTGACAAATTTGATGGCACTCCGGAGATGTTTCCAGCTTTTTTGGGCCAATGCCAGCTCTTTATCAGCCTGAGAGCAGCTGACTTCCCCACTGACCATGATAAAATGGGGTTTATGATCAGCCTCCTCTCTGATGCTGCAGCTCGTTGGGGCACACCTCTGCTAGCCCAGCCTAATCCATTGTTGGATAATTTGGGGGGGTTTGTGACTAAATGCATCTTATGTATGAGGACCCCATTAAGACGCAGACCACTACCCGATGCCTGAAAGCTGTGAGGCAGGGCCGGCGCCCTTTACAGTGATATATCAGTGAGTTTCAACTGCTTAGCCAGGATTCAGCCTGGAGCGAAGCTGTACTCATGGACGCTTTCCAGGATGGCTTGTTAGAGGAGCTGTTGGACGAGCTGGCCCATGTCGATGTTCCCCCAGACCTCAATGGGTTGATCCATCTCTGTTTGCGGATTGATGCTTGGCTGCAGCAGCGTAGGAGTCATCGTGCCACCCCAGAGACCCCAGTTATGCATGAGACTCCAGTTCTGCCGACTCCAGGGGGGGTTGTGTTTCTACTGTGGGGACCCTGGGCATTTGGCCGCCTTCTGCCCCAAGAAGCGACAAGGGGTGTCAGCTACCGAGCCTGCCCCGCGAAAGCAAGCTCATCTGTCAGGAAACGCCCCAAACCCGACCTAAAAGACGTTTTGGGTCAGGCTTCCCCCAACATCGAGCAACGTCCTTCGGATGCTGCACTTGGATCTCAACAGCATTTGATACTGGTGGCATGCTTGACCCTCCCCAGGAAGCTACAAGGGATTCCGGTACATGCTTTGGTCGACTCTGAGGCCACCACAAACTTTATGGACGCAGCATTTGTGGCCAAATGGGCTGTTCCCCAATGCCCGATGGAACTGCCTCTGTTAGTAGAGACTATTGATGGCCAAGTGCTCCTGTCTGGGCCAATTAAGGCCGCCATGCAACCGTTGGGTATGGCCATCAGCTCGCATGAGGAGGCTATTCAGTTTTACATAATCTCCAACCTGCATTTCCCTGTGGTCTTGGGATTGGCATGGCTCCAAACACATGACCCGCAGATTTATTGGTCCCAGAACTTGGTTACCTTTCCAAGTTTACAGTGTGTGGACCACACCTGCCAAGTCTGTGCCGGCCAGGTGGTGAGTCCCCCAGGGGTCTCCCTGCCCTCCGAACTGGTGACATGCGCTCGTGTGTTTAGCGAGACTGAGCCGGATCAACTGCCCCCGCATAGGCCATATGACTGCCCCATCGACTTAGTTCCTGACATGCCTCTCCCAGTGGGGCGTTTGTATTCCATGTTGGACCCCCAGTTGGGACTTTGCGGGGCTTTCTAGACAAAAATTTGGCTCAGGGTTTTATTCAGCCCTTGTCTTCACCAGTGTCTGCACCAGTGCTCTTTGTAAAAAGAAGTCCGGAGAATTGAGGCTTTGCTGTGACTATCAAAAATTAAATGCCATTACGGTACGTAATTAATACCCGCTGCCCCTCATCCCTGAACTTCTGGAACGGCTCCGTGAGGCAAAAATCTTCATGAAATTGGACTTGAGAGGAGCCTACAATCTCATTAGGATTTGGTCAGGTGATGAGTGGAAGACAGTGTTTGGCACCCGGTACGGGCACTTCGAGTATATAGTGATGCCGTTTGGGCTGACCAACGCCCCTTCAGTTTTTCAACACTTCATGAACAACATATTCTGGGATCTGTTAGATCAGTTTGTTGTGATCTATTTGGATGACATTCTGATCTACTCCCCTTCATAGGAGATGCACCACCAGCATCTCCGTCAGGTCCTGCAATGGCTCCGAGATCGTCGTTTGTATGCCAAACTGGAGAAATTCCAATTCTATCAAATGACCATTGATTTCCTCAGTCATCGCATTTCTCTTGAGGGCATCGCCATGGAGCTGAGCAAGGTCGAGTCTCTGTGTAATTGGCAGTCCCCACGTCACATTAAAGATGTCCAGCAACTCCTTGAGTTCGCCAACTACTATAGAACCTTCATCCCCGGTTTTGCTTCCATGACTGCGCCCCTCACTCAGCTCCTGTAGAAAAAGACCCGGTTTCATTAGGATACCTTGGAGCAACAGGCTTTCCAGGCTTTAAAGGAAGCCTTCATAAAGGAACCCATCTTGAAACATCCTGACCCGCAACGGCCATTTGTCATGAAAGTGGATGCCTCCGACATTGCCATTGGAGCGATGTTACTCCACGCTAATGTGCCCGGTGGTGCCCTCCTCCCTTGTGCGCACTACTTGCGGAAACTGAATCCGGCCGAACACAACTACACCATC